AGTGGGTCACTCTACCTATTTGGAGTATGTTGTTTCGTTCATTGAAGGGCTAGACAGAGTTGCTTTCCCTGCAGTGGAAATTATGCAGACTACCGAATGGAAAATACTGAAAAGAACTTGGGAATGCCATCGATGTATAGATCCAAGATGTCTATGAGGGAGATGATGAAATATGGATACAGGCCAGTAACAGTGCTGGGATCCAAGATAGACGGAATCACAGAGCCAATCGAACATAATGAGCAGAAAAGAAGGGCTGGCATAGGATATCAACCTCCAAAAGGGAAATCTCATATTGTTAGCTTCGGGAAAAAGGTTTTTATGCTAGAGCATGTTGCAAGTCTGGGACAGAGTTCAGTACCCGAAGATGATATCATCGATGGGATGGGAAAGTTGTTCGTGAATATGATTGAAGAATGTTGTGAAGGGACTGACATCAAGACACCGACTATTAGGGATGCCGAACCAGGGGAAGAGCTGCGGAATTGGACTGCCAGTCCATCTTTGGTTCGTCGGGAGTCTTGGTAGTATGTAACTGTAAAAGTTTTCTTTTGAAAAGCGCACGGGCATTGAGGCACGCACCCTGTCTGTACATTTTGTCATTTGCCTCTTTTGAACGCTTAAAATGTTCCTCTTTTAATAAAATTAAAAGAATCATTTTCTCAAATATTGTAACTTTATTTACCGCTTTATTTATACTTAGCTTTTATTTTTAATAATCAAAATGCTAAAAAACTCCGTCGAGCGATTATGACATGTAACAAAACCGTTGAGTGCAATGACCCAGATTACGAAGTGTATGATGAGAGCATGATGTTTGACAATCTCCCATAGGAGATCGAGCAGTTGGAAAGTCAGAAAAGGCCCAATCTTGAAGAAACGGAAATGGTCAATCTTGAAAGTGAAGATGATGTAAAAGAAACTAGAATAAGCATACACCTAGAAGCCAAGCAGATGCAAAAGCTCATTGAGCTCCTCCGACAGTACATCGATGTGTTCGCATGGTCCTATGATGACATGCCATGATTAAGTACTGACATCGTCTCGCACCGATCCTACCAGACCACCGGTCAAGCAGAAACCCAGAAAATTCAAGCATGATTTATGTCTAAGGATAAAGGAAGAAGTGACCATACAGATAGAAGAGAATGTGGTGAGGGTCACCAATTATCCAAGTTGGGTTGAAAACATCGTCCCAGTACCCAAGAAAGACAGAAAGATTAGAATATGTGTGGACTACCAAGATCTCAACAAAGCTGGTCGAAAGGACAATTTCCCTCTGCAAAATATCCACATCCTCATCGACAACTGCGCGAAACATAAATTGCAGTTGTTTATGGATTGTTTCGTTGGGTATCACCAAATCTTAATGCACGAGAAAGATGCAGAGAAGACGACCTTCACCACACCTTGGGGAGTTTACTGCTATAGAGTCATGCCATTCAGTCTCAAGAACGCCGGTGCCACCTACATGAGGTCGATGACGACCCTCTTTTATGACATGATTCATAAGGAGATTGAAGTGTATGTGGATGACATCATGATAAAGTCCCGAAAGAGTTCGGAGCACTTGGACGATTTAAGGAAATTTTTTGAACGCCTGCGAAAGTACAGTTTGAAGTTGAACCCACCAAAGTGCGCGTTCAGAGTCCCCGCTAGAACATTGTTGGGCTTCATTGTAAGCAGGAAGGGAATAGAGCTGGACCCATCAAAAATCAAGGCCATTCAGGAATTACCGCCCCCAAATAGCAAGAAAGATGTCATGAGTTTCCTGAGTAGATTGAATTACATCAGTCGCTTCATAGCCCAGTCCAAGATAATCTGTAAACCCATTTTCAAGTTGTTGGAGAAAGATGCTGCCACAAAATGGACAGAGGAGTGCCAGAAAGCCTTCGACAGAATCAAAGAATATCTGTCAAATCCACCAGTGTTGCCCTCCCCCCCCCCCCCCCC